TATATATATATATATATATAATTATTTTTTTTTTTTTTCATAGTTTCCACTGCTCATGGACCTGCTGCCTAGGTGGACCAGAACTGACAAAGCTGTAGATGCTGTGATCTAAACCAATACTTACTTTCAGAAACTTTTTTGTGTTAATTAAGTTTATGTACAAAAAGTAAACCTGTACATTAAATTATGTTCTGTTTGCAATCATAAATTTACTGGTATGATAACTTAGTATGTGTTTGATTGGTGGTTGGTTTATGTCTATTTTGAATTTATAGCCTATTCCGTCTATTTTTTATTTGTAGAGGTAACTCCACCAGCCACCACTGGCATTTGCACCAAATCAAAGTAGTTCCTTGCATAACTTCACTGAACTATTTCAAAGCCCTCAGTTTATAGTGATTTATGAACAGGAGTGACTGTGAATGTCTAAGCGGAACTGTATGTCTGGATCTCAGTGCTCATCTGATCTGGGTCACCCCATGCTGTCACACATCCAGCTCATCTCTCCAAGAAGCTCAGGTGTCGTTTTGATTGATTGTTGAAAGAATGCGTCGCAGATTCTCTTAAGACATTGTTCTCCATAGCAGAAACCTTCTTCACCATACTTTCTTTGAAGATTTATTACTGTGATACAATATAGAAGAAAAGAAAAGTTTTATTAAAAATTATGATTGATTAATTTGTGAAAATCTGTGATTTCACGGCATTCTAAGATCAGATTATCTTCTAGTCTCTCAAACCAGTCTGATCCAGTCTGGATGGATCCACAAGACGTCCAACATGTGGTTTAAGTCAGTTAAACTAATATTAGCATCACTTTTAAAAGATACATCCTTCAGCATTATATAAAGTTGTCATTAGACGAGTTAATGCTCAGTTTGGCTTGAGCTTCTGAAAAAGTTCTGAGCAGCTGCTTGGAGACCGTCTTGTATTCAAAAAACAAGATGTCCTCAGGAGATCTGTTTCCTGCCCGTTTGGTATTTAGTCTGCAGCTTTGCTTTAAGTGTTCCTTTCAGGCAGGTGTAGATCCACTCTTATCAGGCTTCAGTCATGCAAAATTATCAGCAGGCTAGAAATGGTTCTTTGGTGTAGATCAGGGGTCTGTAACCTTTCATATCCAAAGAGCCGTTTTGCGAAGAGTACGACCGAATAAAAGTTGTTTAGAGCCGCAAAATATACCATGACTTTTT